CCCGAATACGGAAAGACGCTGGCCCCGATAATCGGGGTCCCGCCGTAGACCGGCGGCGGCGGCGGCGGCGGCGGCGGTAGCACCCCCCCCCATGCAAGCCGGGCGTTTTTTTCTCGGGAACCGTACTGCTGCCCTCGACTATAAACCCATTATTGCTGTGGGACGCGCTGCAGGAGGGCCCTGTCGGGAACTCCCCGGAGAGGTTGATCGAGTTCTCGAGAACGTTCGGGACGGAGATCGTAAAGGTCGCCAACGGCCCCCTTTCGCTCCCGTTCGAGGTGGCCTCGTCGTCGGCGGTCGCGACCTGGGTGACCTCGTTTAGAAGCCGCTGCAGGATCTTGTTGTTGTTCTCGAGGTCGTCGTTGTCCGAGAAAAGACTCCCGGAGCGGGGGGAGATCTCGGTGTTGTTGAAGGAGATGAGGGTCGTCGCGGTGAGCCCCTCGGTGCTCATATCCCCCCCAAGACAGGTCGACTGCATCGGCGAGGCCGTGGCGGATAAATTGGGCATCCCGGCTACCACAGAGCGGGCTTTGGGCATGGCCTCGGAAATGGGACGATGTCCTATTGGGTTTTCTGCCTTTTTACCAAGCAAGGAACGCGAAACAAGAAAGATAACTTAATGTTAATTACACTATAATAAATTGCTTGCTGAATATTTACTTCCCTATTCTTCATCCTTGTCAGACAATAAAAGGGAAAGGGAAAGACAAAGGGAAAAATGATCAAGTGCGCTAATTAATACCGCAAAGCGTTCGAAATGGCTATGCGTGCAATGCTTGGGGGGACTAAGTCTTAGGACTTCACATCAATTCAGTCTCTCCTGACGAATTAATAATTTTTCTAAATGGAAATGCTCTTCAGCTCCGTAGATGATCACGCTGAAAAAGACTTATAAGAGGCGTTAATGGTTCCCTCTAGTGAACAGCTGAACATTAGAAGAATCACAACGTATATATATATTACTTTGCATTGAACTTGTACTCCAGTATTAATACATTTTAATGAGGCAGACCATCCTTTTTATGGCGTCAGCGTTTTGGGATTTTGTGTGAAGAGGCGAAGCCAGTAGCCGGCTGCCGTTTTAATGCACAAAGTAGGTTGGATAGGGGAAAGGGGATGGGGAAGAGGATGGCGGCGGGAAGCGGTCCTGCGAGCTCCGACTGGGAGGCCCCGAACCACGCGTTCGGTCCACTTCGCCCCTTTCGTATTTCACGCGGCACCATTCGATTGTACAGCTCCACAGCAGCTGTTATCGCGATCGGGAGGGAGGCCACCATGCGGGCCCCCTCATAATATACACTACTCCGACAAAGGGCCCAACTGGAAGTTTTTATCGCTATTGTTATTGGATATGAAAGGGGGATCATCGAAAGTATGACAGGATTTTTGTTTTGTTAGTTGGAAAACAAAAGAGTATGTATGGCCTTCGGATTCAACATCAGCAAGTCCTCCTAGACATGTTAGCGAAGACCTCTCCTATGGGATTTTTCACAAATATAATATATATAAAGAATCCTTTGCATTCAGGTCATAAGGAAATGAACTCATTGGATCAGCAATGATTTTTGGGGGGGAGCAAAGCCAAAAAAAAACGAACCACGTAAACGTTACGACGTTTGAAAGAGAAAAAAATATTTTCCTATACACGCACAGTTAATAATAAAATGCATCAAAGATGAAAAATGCAAATAAGTAAATAATTCTTTTATTGTGTAAAAGAATAAATTATGAAGCAAAAACGTGAAAACAATTATCGACAAACACAAAAACTGATAAATGAAAGAGTGTGGTTGGAACTAAAAGATCCCTATTATGATTGGATTAAAGACACAAGCTTAATGTGCTTTAAAGCAAACAAATTAATCGAAAAATGATTATTATTATTTGCACCACAGATCCTTATTTATTGGGATAAATAAGTTGCAAAATCGCTCGCTTCATCTTTTTTTCGGATGAATTAGCTCGCAAAGTTGTATATGGGGACATTGTCTTTCTTGTCCTGAGCCTTGCTATCATTTTCCTGAGTGGTCGTGTCGACTGACGGGGCGAAATCGTAGGTGGGTTTGCCCTGGCTAAAACTCTGCGGTTCGTAAAATATCGTCGTCGGATTCCCCTCAACGGCCGGTGGGCCGGCCTCGTAAAACGTCTCGAAATTTAACGCCGGGGGTTTAGACAATGAAGGGTGGGCGGCTTCTTCGGAGTGCATTCCTTCCCTGGCGTAGGCCTCGTAGCCGAAATTGGGGAATCCTCGCGGGGCGGTTGGGTCGCCCGCCTCCTCGAGACTCTGCGGGAGCGGGGAGTCGTGGAGGGCCGCATTGTAGGGGTCCAAATGGCTCTCGACGTTCCCGCGGGGCGTATCGTAAAACATGGTCTGGATGGAATCGGGTATGACGTTTATGCTGAAGCCCGGCTCGAGCGGGGTGTGGGTGCTGCCCATTAAATGGAAGGCGGAGGAATTGGCGATGGACGGCTCGGAACTGGACTGGGCGAACATGTCGGTGTTGAGTCCCGTGGGTTTTAAGGGATCGGGGTACTGCGGCTTGGCGTCGCCTGGCTTCTCCTTTCGGTGCTGGGTTTCATTTTCTCGGAAATCCCCCATCGAGGGCAAGTCTTTGGGGTTGAAGGCATCGTTCGGCGTGCGATGCTCGGAGGACGATCGCGATTGCGCGCGTTGAGGGAGGGCCATTGACTTTGGGTTGGAACCCGCCATGCCTTTCCGGGGCGGCTCCGTAGACAACTTCGCCTCGCCCGTATCGCGGAAGAGGTTGTCAATCGCGGCGTCGTTTCGGACCTCGGCCTGGGGTGGATTTTTGCTCCGCGCCCACGATAATACATGGGCGGCGGCCGAACTGACCATATGACGGACTTGCCCTCGCAGCTGCTCTTGCTCGGACGCCAGGGCGTCGATGTGGTCGTTAATGCGCTTTACCTCCCGCCCAAGCGGGGTGGTGGAGCTATCGCGGCTACTCAAGGCCTTTTCGTTGGTCTCTTGGGTTTGCTCAAGGATTCGGATCTGCCCGGTCAGGGAGTCCACCTTCTCCAGGTTGGCCATCAACTCCGCGGTGACGTCGGTCTTGTGTTGAATTCGCCCCAGGCTCAGCTGATCCAGCTCTAATTGGTGGATTTGCTGCCGTAAATCGTCAATCCGGCTGGTGGTTCGCGCCGTTTGCTCCCGCAGGGCGTGCTCGGACTTCATCGCGGTGGGATCGCCGCGAAGGACGCCGCTCATTAACGCCATCTGACGAAGATAAGCCGCCGTGGCGCCGACGTAGTTCGCGCGGAATTGCCGCGCCAGCGCGACGAACTGCGCCTTCACGACGTCCTGGCAGCGGGCCGTGATGGCCTTGGAGGCCATCCCCTCCACCCCTGTCAGCTCATTGCGCTTTTCCTCCAATTCCCTCAACTTTAACGCGCTCCGGGCCGCGGTCGGGGGAAGGGCTTCGGCGTTCGCCTGCTTTTTCCGCTCCAGCATCGTCTCGAGCGAAATAAGCAGCGTCATCGCCTCACCACGGGACATCACCGACACTTTCCCCACCGATCCTTCCACAGGACCGGGCGGCTGGGGCTTAAGAATCAAATCAAACGACAACGGCAGCCCGTTCTCGGGGTAGACTAAAATGGCCACTTTCATTTTGGCGCTGACGCCGTAAATCTGGATCGGGGCCTCGATTACCCCGGAGCCGGCGTTGTCGTAGGGCCCGAGGACATTCCCGCAGTCCACGTTCGTCTCGCACACCGTCCGGCGCGGCACCCCGACGATGTATTCCTCGAGCCGGAAGAGGATGTACTTCGGCGCGAAGCGCCGCCCCACCGTCCCGCTCTTGAAGTGAATCACGGAGGCCCCTTCCGGCATCGGGCTGAAGTCCACCAGGCCGTTTCGGGCGGTATAACACGGGGTGGACCGCCGGGTATCGCCGCGGCGGTAATAAATCGTGTACTGCTGGCCGGTCTGCAGGACCCCGCACTCGACGGCGAGCACCTTGAAGCGTAGGATGTGGGTCAGCTGTGGCATGCGCGGCGGTGTAAAGGGGTGGATAGTTCGCTAAAATAGGGAGGTGAACCAAACACAAGATTCGGCGGCGTGGTCACGGTTGATACTGTATAGGATACTATCGCTCTCTCTCTCTTTCTCTCTCTATATATGTTGAGGGTCTTAAAACAAATTGACTACTACCAAGGGGTTTCAAAGAAGGTCTAGATATCAAGAACAATGAATGATTCTCCGGCCCTGGCCTGGGAATAGAAAATGCAATCCATTAAAAGTGGTTCCACTGTATAGAATATAGATGCATAATTTTGTAAACATAAATATATCAGGCATAAATTATTTACCTTGAGACTTTTTCTGAGGTAATAAACAGAAGCATGAAATGGCAGTATTTATTAATAGTATTTACCATGTCACTGAGGTTGGAAAGTCCATGATGTGAATTTGGCATCTATTAAAATAATTAACCTCCATAAAGGTGTAGATACATATATACAATAACAATTAATCTCAAAACAAAATATGTTCACTTCTAGATTTTTTGGAGGGGAAATGAAAAATAAAATTTTGCTACATAGTAATAATTAGACTCACAAACTATCATTGGTATTTTATAAAAACTCTCTAATAAACGATATAAACAGAAATTACCTTTTTTTTTTCTACTTAGACATTCGCGATTTAATTCACTGCATGTTAAGGCTTGGTACATCTTACCAAAAGGTGAGAAATATATATTAAGTGCATGCAGAATTAAGCAAAAAGGATTTTCGCATAGAGGATCGGAAATATGTGATATAAATAAGAACGCAACAAACTAGTAGGGTAATGAAAATACATATAAAATATATACAATGACTACATATCTTAAAACAATAAGTGAATTCACTCGGAATCAATAGCTGAAAAATCTACTGTAACTATTTGTCCCCCTACGAGTATTTTATTTGATAAAACATTTTATATCTAAACTAATATATACACTTGTTTCCCTAAAATATACATATATAAAAACTAAAACTACTATTAAGCCATAAAAACCGGATTTTTGAATACATTTCAGGATATAAATTTTTCAAAGCATTCTAGATTGGTTCACCTTTTGTAAATAATTTATGAGTGAACCCAAACAATTTAAAATCTATGATAAAATTAATTGTATATATATACTAGAAAAATATTGAGAGAATCTATGGAAAAATTAAATCAGAGCATCTACTAAGGCAACTATGCAATAGAAAAAATGCACCCCTTGAAATAATCTACTGATCCACACAATACATTGCAATATACATTTTTTTTACCATGTGTCCCAAGCCGTCAAGAAAATAAAGAGTCTATGGAATAGGAATGATTAAATAATAATATATATATATATATATTATATTTGAATCTTCCAGTATTTTCTATTAAAATTTAAAAAAAATGTAAAAAACAAAGGTGATAAAAAAATGGACGTAAATTATATTTAAAAAAAGTATTACATTATCTGCTTCTATCTTCAGATTTTTAATGTGAAAACGGGTAAGACTGAAAGTACAAAGTAAATGTAACCCATGTTTCTATGATTTATAAAAAAAATAGTGAAAGGGGAAAAAGTATCTTGTGTGTATGCATAGATGTACTGGCATAAATCTTTCTTGCTTATATTTCACTTGCAATGCATGTATATCAATTTAACCTTGTGCATCTGTTCTAGGATATAAAAGGAGAACAAGATAATTTTTTTAAATCAGTTTTTAACTAAAAATAAATAAAAAAGCTGTATTCGACAATAAAAGTTAAATGTGAGAAAACGATATTAATTGTCTAGGGAGAAGGGGAAATAAATATCGTTATGATTTATTCACGACGACGGTTAAGATTGGTATTACTTTTTCTTCGAATATTCATCCTATACTCATTGTGACGGCGCTCGCCATGTGTTTTAGAACTGTTGGGACTACACTGAACGTTGCGGTTCAACTGATGCATCCAGATACGGCACTTGTAGTGGGTGTGCAGCATGCGCGTGAGGATGTTAAAATCTACATATGCCTCACTTTTAAACTGTACAGTAAGCTTCTTGCGATCAAACTGAAAAATCACACGTTCAATGGTAATAGGTACTTTCAAATCAACCCTCTCTAAGCATTCTTGGCAACGGGTCAATGCCTCTTCTTCGGCCTGGGAAAGTTCCTCATATCGTGTGATGTCTAAGTTACTCGCGCGGCGCAACACCTTTGGTAAATTCATATTGTTTTCAGCTTTATAATCGCTTCCATTGAGGTTCGCATCGTTTCGCTTCACTGGACTTCTATCAGTGGTTTCTGTGGTTATCGTTTTATTTGAATTGACAGCTGATATAATACCCATGTCCTCGCCACGGTCGCCTTCAATAATCACATGGAGCCCAATTAATTCATTTATATCGATATCTGACGTCAATATTTCGTAGACATCAGGTATAATAAATGCCATTTCACCGTAGCGAAGGGCTACAGTTACCTCCACACAGCGACGGCACAAGACTGGACGCGGTCTTCCACAGACGTAGATCTTCCCAATGTTCTTGGAAGGGATACTAGTCGGGGAATTGTCAGGTTTGGACGAATTAAGACCCTCTTCTAGAGTGTTTAGGGTGTTTAGAAATTCTTGGGTGTGGAACAGTGAACGATTAACCGACCCCATTGTGGATCCTTCCTCTTCTTGTGATTGTGGGGGTGCAAGGGAACTGCCATTATTCTTTGGCTCAACAAAAGGAGTGCTCAAAGCACTATAGGGGGTCTGACTGACGTAGTAGGACATGTTTTCTGGGCTGCAACCTGGCGCCATCGAGTCTGTCGAGAATGGCGACAATGACGAATGGATCGAATCCTCAGGAGCGAGCAAACAGCAGCTGTAGGGGTCATGGCGAATCTTGGCAATAGGTTTTGTAGATATGGTATTATTAGCCTTGTTAAATGACTGAATGGCTGATTTGGTGCAATCAACAAGAGGTGAAAACATTATTCTGAAGAGAAGAATATCAATAATAATCTATGAAATTCTAAAAAAAAAATGTAGGGTAGCCGCAAACAAATTGATATGAAGAATACGTATCGTGTATAATGAACTTGTACAGTCGATATGCTGTAATGCTTGGAGATATCAAATTATAAAAGCGGAAAACTATCGAAAATTAAAGTCTAAGGTTATAGCATTTAAGAAAAAGAAAAAAGAGTACAAGAAATAAAAAATGAATATCATGAAATAGTGCATATATCTGTTATATGAGCAACTCACTTAGGGGGAATGAAAATCAAAGCAAGGTTGCCAATAATTCACAAATGTGCAAATGTTTTGATGTATACGTCCATCAGCGGTGCACCCATTTATGTATTAGTTTTACAACCCTCAGTCTTTATGGGGGGCTTGATAAAAGCCGATGCGGCTAAGTATAATCGCATGCCATCCGTCCTCTCCTGCCAATATCAAATGGATGAGACTCGCCATAGTTTGACGAGATTGTCATCTCCACCTGTAGCCAGAAGCAGGCCCTGGCTTTTGAGTGTATCGTCCATCATTTCATCACTTTTTGTATATAATCCACCAAATGATGAAAACGAAACCGAGTTAACATCTGCTTCGTGCGTCGAAGTCATCGTTGTAGCGAGTTGAACATGCACACCCTCAGAGTCCTCGACCAGAACTAGCAAAGTAACGTTATTATCACCCCCACCGCATGCTACCAGAGGCACACCATGCGGAGCCCATCCCACAGAGTAAATGGGACGCTCAGCAAATCCGGATCCACGGGCCACGTTCTCGAACTTGCCGTTTGAATTTTGCCTCCAAAAGGAAACCGTACGGTCATCCGAGCAGGCGCATAGTAGCGGCCGGGAAGTGCAAGCGTTCCCCATCTCATTGCCACCTTCCCCTAATTCATGGCTCTCCTCATTCCCGATGCGGTATTCTAAACGTTGGAAAGCCAGCTTCCACACCGTTCCCTCGTGCTCCTTTAGAGTTTGTATGCAGTGCCAATCATCCTGGCGATGGGAATCACACCACACACGAATGGTATCATCGTAGCCACATGATAGAACCAGTGGATGCTCATTAGGATTTGGCGAGAGGTGCCATAAGCAGTGCTTCACATCTTGAGTGTGGCCGGTTAAAATGCCACCACACTCGTACTCGCCCTCCGCGACTCGCTCCCAGACCCACACCGTGTGATCGCGCGAGCAGGTGGCCAAAATGCTGTCCGTTGCCCACTCCACGCACTTCACCTCACTCTCGTGGCCGTCGAGAACCCCCTCGACCTCGAACTCGCAGCCCCCCACGGGGTTTCGACGCCATACGCTGACGGTATGATCAAACGAGGCGCAGGCCAAATAATCCCCGCTCGGGCTCCAGCTCACGTGGCGTACCGTGCGGTCGTGCTCCCCTTCCAGGAGGCCGATGCACTTCCATCCCGCCGCCCCCCCAGTTTGCGCGAATTCCGATCCCTGACTCCACAGCCTG